AAGGTCATTTTGGTCCAGATTGTCCCATTCCTGTTGCAACGCAGCAGCAAGTTCTTGGACAATGGCAGGACGTTGTTGACGTTGACGTAACCTCTGTCCAAGCATGTCCCAGACATGCTCGATGGGGGAGAGGTCGGGACTCAGTGATGGCCAAGGTAATGTGGTGATGTTCTGTTGTTGGAGGTAACCTGTAACGATCCTGGCCCTGTGACATCTTGCGTTGTCATCCTGGAAGATGAAACGGCGGCCATGACGTCTTGCGAACGGTGCAACATGGACTGCCAAGATGTTGTCCCGGTAGTACTGGCCTGTAACACGCCCTGCAACAACATGTAAAGCCGTTCTTCCAGCAACAGTGATGCCTCCCCACACCATAACAGAACCACCCCCAAATCGATCATGTCTGATGACGTTAACGTCTTGGAAGCGCTCGTTTCGACAACGCCACACCCTCCTACGTCTGTCCAAAAAATCAACAGTGAACCTTGACTCATCTGAAAACATCACATTGCTCCAGCGTCGATTATCCCAGTGTTGACGATCCCTACACCAACGACGTCATGCCTGAATGTGATGATCTCTCAAACAAGGGATCACGAGAGGACGTCGGGCGCGAAGGTGACTCCTATGCAGTCGATTCCGAATCGTTTGGCCACTCACTCTCACACCAGTGTCTGTTTGAAGACGAGCGCTGATCTGATTTGCTGTGATGACACGATTTCTCAAGGCCAAAGTACGGATAAATCGATCCTGGGCTTGAGTTGTCGCCCTTGGTCGACCTGAGCGTGGTCTGTCCTGTACAGATTGTGTATCACGGTATCTGGACCATAGCCTGCTTATGACAGACTGAGAAACATTCATCGTCCGCGCCACAACCGCCTGTGTTGTGCCGATCTGTAGCATGCCAAGGGCACGTAACCTTTCATTTTGGGTAAGCCGACGCATATCAAAATTTGTTTTCTGGTCACTAAAACAATTAAACTGATGTTTCCACCCTGGAATTCAATGCCACAATGACTGTAACATTCAAAGTCAGAGTCGTGCAAATCTTGGGTTGGACCCCCATGATGATCCCAAGCATCACCTGCATTCCATGCGGTAGCTATTGGTGCGTTTGGGCGTCACATGTAACTGGAAATGTTTCTTCTGTTAGGTTCTATAGTGACTTTTTTCGTAGTCATTTGCATATTTTAGTATTATGCCCCCAAAATCAAATATCCCCTACTTTTTTTGAATAGTATATTATTTATAGCTTGTTAATGTGAGATACTTTAGGGATTTTCCAGATCCCTTTATCTATTGGGTCATGGCAATAAATATAGTTGTTATTCTGGTTTCTCCTCAATCTTCCTGTTAGTCTTTAGATTTTTGGGTGGTTGGATGGCTGAATGGTTAGCACGTGTGCATTGTATCATTAGCTCTATCATTGAGTCAAGTTGCGCAGTTTCAATTCCCCGGTTGTACGTGACAAGGAGTAGGGTCGTCTGTCCAACCTCGTGGGTCCTCCAGTTTCCTCCCACTGCTAAGGACCCATATACGCATGCGAATTATTGAAATAAAATTGAACCATGTGTTAGTCCCGAAATGACCTAGTTTGTGTTGAGTGGACCTTAAATCCCCTCTCTCTCTCTCTCTCTCTCTCTCTCTCTCTGGAGTTTTGCAACATGCATTATGGAAGATTCCAATAAAAAGCTGACAGTTTGCACTGTAATACATGTAGTTAAAAAAAATAGATATGAAAAAGGGAATATAGCCGTTTGAAGAATGATGTAGTCTTGATTGTCATTGCTACTATTGTTACATTTACAATAATAAAATAAGTCTTGAATATCCATTTTTTAATTAAATCCCTAACTGATAATCGTGTTTAAATCCATAGAAAATCCAAACCATCCGATGAACTAGAGAGTTGATTGAATGTCATGTGAATAAATATCTAATTAATGATTTATATAACATTTGAGGCCAAACGAAAGATCCGCATTAGGCAGATTTAGCTCTTACATAATGCATCTTTAATAAAGATTTCTATGGCGATGAAGAATTAAATGAATTGAGAAAGATTTTCTTAAAGATACATTATGGGAGATTCTGTAACGAGTTGGCAGTTCTCACTATAATAGTTAAAAACTAGATAATGTAAAGGTAATTTGCTGAAAATTTCATTCAAATTGATCCACTATGAACAGAGAACTAAGCGACTGAAATTTCCCCCTAGCCTCGGTCACCATTACTAAAGTCAGTACTATAAATAGCATAGTCTCGATTATCCATTTAATCATTAAATCGTGAAGGAAAGTTAGGCAGTAAATCGACTCATAATCCACTAAAGGTCGCAGGCTAGCGATGCCATCGAGAGCTGATTATGATCTGGATAGGTTAATTAATGTCTAATTAATAATTTGGATAACATTTCAGGCCTAAAGAAAGACCTGCAATAGACAGATTTAGCTCTTGCATAATGTATGTTTAAATGAATCTAGAGAGATTTTCTTAAAACATTTCCAGGAACTTTCTTGGCCAACAACGAGAGCGAACGCGAGTCCTCCTTTTTAGTAAGCCAGTGTCTTACTCTCTACATCTAGAAGAACTGTTAACAGAATCGGCAGAAAGGCTGCTGACCCGACAAAATTCACCATGGAAAAAACTAACCATATGTTAGTCTCAAAAATATTGTGTTGTCAAGAAGTTAAACCCCCAATCCATTTCTTTGGTATATTATCTTTTTAAATTGACTAGTAGGCTAATAGTATTATGATTTCATCAAAATACCTCATTTTTGGAATAACTTTGGAATATGAATTTTACAAATGAATGATTTGACTAATATCGTTGTTTGAACCATGGCATATTATATGAAGCCAGTTTATGACATAACTTTGTTTAGTTGCACTAGTTCGGTATATAAAATATTGTTTATTTAGTCAGTGGTTTAACTTCAGTAGGTTTCAGCCAACTATTCAAAATGTTATCATTGTGTCATAAAAACAAACTGTGTGTATTGGTTAAAGGAAAAGTCACAAATTTCACGGTGATGCAAGGTCTGACCAAGAAAAAGTATCTAGTCTTTCAGATGGGATGAAAAACTGAGGTCTCGTGTACATTTTGGTGTGTAAGTAAAAGTACCCTTGACAGTTGGAATTCCACCGCTGTCTGGGCAAATTCCCCTCATAGCACACTGCATGGCAGATGCCCGTCTTCATTAGCTCATTTGCTGCAGGGTTTCCTGACGAGGAGTAGGGTCGCCTGTCCAACCTTGTGGGGTTTCTCCGGGTCCCCCGATTTTCCTCCCACTGCTAAAACTCTCTACTACGTGACAAGGAGTAGGGTCGCCTGTCCAACCTCACAGGTTTCCTCCCACTGCTAAAACTCCCTACTACACACAAGCGGATTACTGAAATAAAATGTAACCTTATGTTAGTCCTGAAATGACCTAGTTTGTGTCAAATGCACATTAAACCGAGCCAAATTTGACAAAGGAAGACAATATTGATAAATATTACAGCGTAACCTTTAAAGTTACAAATTGAGACCGTTTTAAAAAAACATAGAAATAAGATTGTGATGATAGTACATCAATGAGAGAGTTGTTCAACCATGATGAAATGATTGTAACTGTTTCTACATCACTTCACAGTAGAGTCGAGAACCGTGAAATGATCAGTGATCATAAATTAAATCCAGAACACATGAACTTGACTAGTATGCTCTTTGTATCTTTCTATGTCAATTTTGTGTCTTGTCGGAAGACGCGGTGGCTCAGTAAGTAAGGTGGTCCGAGGTTTCCTTCCAGTGTTGACCGAGAAAGTTCCCTGGAATTTTTATACGCCCACATTTTCATGTGGACGTATATTGTCGTCGCCCCTGTCCGTCCCTCCGTCCACAATTGTTTGTGGACACTCTACAGGTCACAATCTTTATCCGATTTTGACGAAACTTGAAATACAGGTTTATCTCCAAAAGATCTCGGCTGCTTTCAATATTGCCGTGTATCGGATCGAAACTTCATGGATTATGGCCCCTGTTTGTACGAAAAATCATGTTTTTAGCTTGTGGACCCTATAGAGGTCACAATTTTAATCCTATTTTGATGAAACTTGAAATGTAAGTTTATAACCCAAAGATCTCGGTTCCTTTCGATATTCGCACTTATCGGACCGTAACTTCCTGAATTATGGCCCCTGATTGTATGAAAAATTGCATTTTTAGCTTGTGGACCCTATAGAGGTTATAATTTTTATCCGATTTAAAAAATCGTATTATTATATCACCGTTTCACCCTAAGGAAGTTTGAATTTCGTGAAAATCGGCCCAAAACTGACAGACAAAATGGCCGCCATTCGTTCTCAAATAGCGTAAAAATATGGTATATCAAGGTTGTGGACCCTATAGAGGTCACAATTTTTATCTGATTTTGTTGAAACTTGAAATGTAAGTTTATAACCCAAAGATCTCGGTTCCTTTTGATATTAGTGCATATTGGACCGTAACATCCTGAACTATGGCCCCTGATTGTATGAAAAATAGAACCATTCTTGGATCGATGTTCATTTAGAACCTGGGTTCCCAACCGTGGGGTCACGACCCCAGCTGGGGTCACGAATCACTTTTCATTGGGTCGTGGCAGACAACTCTGAAACTTCTGAAAAAATGGCATGTTTTCATGAAAAGCATATAATTCTCTGATCTATACACCTCTTGCCACATTGCCAATCGTCTTCCCTCTCTCACGATCACAATTTGTTTCCTCAGTTCTCTCATTACAAGATTTTAATCTATAAATAATGATGATGTTTCATAGTAAAAGGTGATTTTGTTCTTCCAGGGGTCGTGATTAAATGATGGTTTCTAGAATGGGGTCGCAACCAACAAACGGTTGGGAAAAACTAATTTAGAACTTCAACTTTCAGAATATTGAAGTTGGTGAGGGCATCACAGTCCCTCAAATAATGAACAGTGCCTTTAAATTAGAGTAATATAAATAATATTTAATGTTTCAGACAGGGAACGACCATCACCATGTCATTGTTAAGATTAATACCAGTATTACAGAAACAGAACTGTCTATCCTCTATTGGTGGTTTAAACAGCTATAGATCGTCATCGTCATCAATACACAAGGTAATATTACTCTAGATCATCATCAATACACAAGGTAATATTACTCTAGATCATCATCCATGCACACGGTAATATTACTCTAGATCATCATCAGTACACAAGGTTATATTACTCTAGATCATCATCCATACACAAGGCTATATAGAGGATATTTGTCGTTTTGTCGTGAATAACATATTTTATTTCATCTCTAAGCAAGAAAACGTTTATATTTTCACGAATGTGTAGCATGAGTGAAAATATAAACGTTTTCTTGCCTAGAGATGAAATAAAATATGTTATTCACGACAAAACGACAAATGTTCTATTTATTTTATGATTTTACAATCATTTTAGGTAAAAACAACTAGCCAGTGGAATAACACTTTTATTTCACTGATAAAACTCAGTATTCCACTACTGATCATAAAATAAATATATATATATATATATGTCCAGATCATCAATATACACAGGGTTATATTGCAAATATATTTCAGTCCAGATTATAAATTTTTAGTCAAAGTGACATGAATACAGATTAAGGTGAAAAGTAAAATATCAGCTACATGAACCTGCCTTATGATGTCTCTGATAACTGATTTAAATGAATAACATCTTTATATCTGTATTGGGTTTTTTTTATTTTATTTTTAGCCCAGAAAGGCCCATTTAGTTTTAGAAGATGATAGCCATTTCCCTGGTTATTCTTTTGGTCATGAAAAATCATCTGCTGGTGAAATTGTGTTTAACACAGGACTTGTTGGGTTAGTTTTTACTTTGATAGAGATAACAAGACTCTTTAACTTGATAGAGATGACAGGAGAGTCATCGTCAAAATATTGGTTTAAATAGTAGTTATATATAGAATGTGTCAGTGGTTGAAATGAAGTTGGATGAGGGTTGAGAGAGGAGTAGAGTTAGAGTGTGGATTTGGATCGGGGTTGAAGTCTGAGTGCTGAGAGAGGAGTGAAGTGTGAGAGATAGGGGATGAAGTTAGGGTGTTTGAGGCTGGGGGTGGGGGGATGAAGTGAGAGATAGCGGATCAAGTTAGAGGGATTGGAGGGGAAATTAAAGAATGAAGATGGATGTCTGTTGAGGTTGTGGCTGGGGGGTGGGGTGGGGGACGGTGGGAAAGGGGGGTGGATGAAGTGAGAGATAGGGGATAAAGTGAGAGGGAAATTAAAAGGATGGAGATTGGTGTCTGTGGAGAAGGTAGGGTGGAGGTTCAGACTGAGGGGGAAGGGTGGGGGGGATGAAGTGAGAGATAGGGGATCAAATAGTGGGATTGGAGGGGAAATTAAAGGATGAAGATTGAGTGTCCGTTAAAGATAGATGGAGATAGGGTGTTATGGATTGCAACCCAAAATTTATTATTACTGTAAATAATTTTAACTTCTGAAATGACAACCATTACTTGAAGGTAAATGGATGGGTAGGGAAATCTTTCATTGGATTGTTAATTTTCATTTAGATATCCTGAAGCCTTAACAGATCCAAGTTACAGAGGTCAAATATTGACCTTGACCTATCCTATTATTGGGAACTATGGAGTACCTAATACAAATAAATTAGATGAATTTGGATTAAGAAGATATGTTGAATCTGAGAAGATACAGGTATAGTTTTGAAAAATTGAAATTACTTCTTGCAGTATGGATTGTGACTGTTAACTAGATATAAGAGAAAACAAAAAAAATTAGAAAAAGTCTGTGCATTACTTTGTAGAGAATGAAAAAAAAACCAAACCAAGGGATGCACAGGCCTTTTTTATTTTTCTCGTTATATATAAGGATAGCTTGTGTTTTCCATTTTTTGCCTCACTTTGCATGCATTACCATGTTTTTATTAAGTAGAGAATGATCAAAAAAACAAGGCATGCACAGGCTTTTTTATTTCTCTCATTATATATAAGGATTGATTTCCATTTTTTGCATCACTTCCTGTTTCTTCAGATCTTCATTAAGCAGCTTCTGTTTCAATGATCTGTGTTAAAATTATATTTGGAATGTGTTTAACCAGTTCTATCACATATGTCATAATGGCTGACACCAATATTGTCCTTTAAATAGTAAGTGCAGGAGAACCGCACTACATGTAAAACAAAAATCTACAAGATAAACCTGCGGACAAGACAGAAAATAGACATTGCACCAAATAAACAAATATAAAATCAAGTGATTGGATTTGGGGGCCAGCCGTAAGCGTAACCTCTTTGAATTAGCACTGGTAAGTTGATACCGTTGACTTACGAACCTAGGACTTTTAATAATGAAATTTATTGTCATTAAATTATACAAGTGATCATTATTCTAAACTAATGTTTAGTATGTATAGAAAATGGTTAGAAATTATACAGTTGTCTTTAAATAGCAAGTGTGTCTGTAAAAGATGTCACTACTGGTGTAAAAGTGTGACTATAATTATAACACCCATCACAATGCACAAACCTGGACAATAGTGGTGTATATCATTCAATAGTAACAGTTTTAATACCTTAGTGACAAAACACCTACTTAATTGACTACTGCCTGATTACTAACAATTTTAACTAACTAATACACATTATGTATATAAAAAGACGACTTTGCTCTATTAGTGTTGTACATTTTCATTTATAAAAGTTATTTGTTGCTTCGTCAACAATATCAACGTTACAGTGAGGTCAGAATGTTTTGACATCATGTGTTATTTCAATTAGTGATGTGGCTCTATACGATAACATTTTTATTTTAATAGATTAAAGATGCCTTATGTAAGATTTATATAAAGAGCTGACAGTTCTTGCTATAATAGTTTTAAAAAAGAGATAATGAAAAAGGAATATATTGAAAATTTCCATCAAAATACTTCATTCGACTGAGCAAAGTTATGACCGTTTGAAAAATAGCCTAGTCTTGATTTTCAATGCGATCGTTGGTACGATAATAAAGAAAGTCTTGGATTTTTTTCAATTTTTAAATTAAATTATTAAATGACCATTAAGTTTCAATCTGTTCAAAATCACAACCATCCGATGGTCTAGAGAGAGTTGAATAAATGTCTAATAATTTATATAACATTTGAGACCAAAAGAAACATCTACAATAGTCATATTAAGCTCTTACGTAATGCATCTTTAACCGGTTAAGTGCGTAGGTCGTTATATAACGTCCTGGACAACTGCCACTCACTGTGTGTAGGGCGTAACATAACGCCTTGGAGGTATTTTCCCCAACCTATTCTTAGAACATAGTTCATAGTTCTTCGTCAAATTAATTACACAATAGGGGGTAGTTAACGTTTTAAAAATGTCACGCTTAATGGGTTATGTGGAAGTCACCTTATTTACTAATATTAGTTAATTTAGGCATACCTTGTCGACAGTGGAACACTAAATCATGTATATCTCAATACTGACATTGTCTATAATCGCAAAATTTTCAACAAAGATTATTATCCTACTAAACAAATCCATGCCAACATTCAGCGAGGTTGACCATTTTAATTATGACACAAATCAAACAAGTCTAGCCATTACATCATCTTATTTACTCTTCCAAGGTGTCTGGGCTGATAGTTCAAGACTACACAGCTGAACATAGTCACTGGAATTCTGTCAAATCCCTTTCTGAATGGTTGAAGGAAGATGGGATCCCTGCCTTATATGGTATTGATACTAGAATGGTAACTAAAATGGTCAGAGATAAGGTAAATTCTTTGATTTATATGGGAAGTATATATGTTGCTGTCGCTGCACCGCAAACACGCAGTTGTCAGATTGAACTATTTGTAATGGACATAGTTTTGGATTGGCCTGACAAGGACAGCTGTCTAGTCGTTCGGATGGATGAAAAAACGAGGACCCATGTACACATTGGCATGCATGTAAAAGATCCCTTGACAGTTGGAATTTGATATAAGAGTAGGCCATAGTGCCGTTGTCCGGGCAAAATTTCCCTTGTATCACACTGTATGGCATGTGTCATCTTCATTAGCACAGTAGGTCTTTAAACCCTATTTTATTTCATTTCATGCTTTTTGATTGTATGAAAAATAATGTGCTGCTCCACAAACAAGCCCTTGTAAGCTGGAATTAGAAATTGTACTGGACTTCCTTTTCTTGTTAACATGTAATTGAAATTATAAAAAAAAACCCACTAAAAAATCAAAGACAAATTTATGACAGGCACTAGAGGAATTATTTGCATGACATGTCTCATATCCAGACAGGGGGGTTGGATGGCTGAATGGTTAGCGTGCGGGCGCTGTATCATAAAGTCTGTCATTGAGTCGACTGGCGTGGTTTCGAATCCCCAGTTGTACGTGGCAAGGAGTAGGGTCACCTGTCCAACCTCGTGGGTTTTCTCCGGGTCCTCCGGTTTCCTCCCACTGCTAAAGACCCCTACGCACAAGCGAATTATGTAAATAAAATTAAACCATATGTTAGTCCCGAAATGACCTAGTTTGTGTCGAGTGGACGTTAAACCCCATCTCTCTCTCTCTCTCTCTCTTATCCAGACTTGTCTGTCTCTCTCCTCCAAGCCTTCCCCCGCCTGAAACATATCAATATTCTTTACTATCAACTTCTATATATAGAAACATATCAATATGTTTTACTATCAACTTCTATATATAGAAACATATCAATATGCTTTACTATCAACTTCTATATATAGAAAAAATATTACATTTTTGATTACAGGGCACTGTTTTAGGTAAAATAGAATATGAAGATCAACCAATAGAATTTGAGGATCCAAATATTCGAAATTTAATAGCAGAAGTATCATCAAAGGTAGTGTATTTATGAATTCTTTTAGAGATGTTATTTCATAATTTTTTATTGATTTGAGGCTTAAATTTAAATGGCGCATGGCTTAAAATAGACAAAAATATTTGATAGTAGATTCCTATATTTTCACTGCAAGCTAACATCAATATTGATTAAAATGGACCAATATTGACTTTTACTTCGTGTTTTTAAGTTTGAATTTTATGGAAAATATTTTATATTTTTCAACATTGATTGGAGCTGATTATTTATACTGACAAATTTAATAAATTATGTTAAATATTGATAGAGATGAGTGATGAAGTAATTTATAAATAACTTCGTCGACTCGTCAGCAGATTTTAAGTTTAAAGTAACCAGCAATGTAATGGATGAACACATTGATTTGCTCATTCATAACACCCCTCAAAATGGAGGGGAGGGGGATTGAGTAGTCTAATAATGGCACTAATGTGTGAGAGGTCTAATGGCACTTGTACTATACTCATACATACAAAGTGATAAGGTTCCTAAAGCACGATAAACCACGGACACCTCAAAACTTGATCGGGGACATCTTATTCCAGAAGCACATGTTACACCAAAAACCCTTTGGGTAAAACGAACACCAGAATATTTTACCGGTATGACGTCATACATAACGTAATAATAATAATACGAAACGTAATCATAAATACTACAGCACTAATGTGTGCACTTCAGATTAAAGGTCTGTTATTGTTAAATCAGGGCCCTGTTTATCGAAATCTTAACTAAAGATAAGATCCAAATTTTAGTAGATACTTCAATTTTGATGGGCTAAGCACTAAAATCAGTCTAATATTATCCAATCAAATTACTAAAATTTGGATTTTATCTTAGTTAAAATTTCGTGAAACATGCCCCAGGTCATTGAGTAAGGTTGCCTGCCTAACCTTGTGTGTTTCCTTCCATTGGTAAAGAGCTTAACGCATGCGAAGTATTGAAATAAACTAAAACATGTGATATCCCAAAATGTCCTAGTTTGTGCAAAATAATTATTGAAATATACCACGTGTTATCCCAAAATTACCTTGTTAGTGGCCGTTAATTGCCTATTGATCTCTCTCTATCCATACTTGAGTTCTGTGATTCTACTGAAATAAAATGATTTTTAGGAAGTAAAGATTTATGGAGAAGGAAATCCTGTAAAGATTGTAGCTTTAGATTGTGGTATAAAACACAACATGATTAGATCTCTACTGATGGTAAGTTCATATGCTTATTAGATATTAACAAAGTTTCGCCTACTGATGGTGAGTTGGTATTCTTATTAAATATTAAGAAAGTTTCGCCTACTGATGGTGAGTTAGTATGCTTATCAAATATTAAGAAAGTTTCGCCTACTTTGCAGGGTGGCTGAAATGGGTGAAGAGGAAAATGTTTCCCCAAACTAATATCAAAGTGTTCTTGTCCCCCGGAAAAATATTAATATGCTTGATTAAAAGAGTTATTGGGTCTGGAAATATAGTACCTGTCACAGACAATGTCAGGCACAGATTCAGGCTATGTCAGGCACAAAACCTCTGGTGCTTGTCATTTTGTCCGGCACTGATCTGTCTTTTTTATTAAAATTATTAATACATGTCCGGCATTAAGTTAAAAATGTCACATGCTGTTTAATTAGTGCCTGACATTTTGTCAGGTACATCTAAAATCGTTATTTCGAGGCCTGTATTGGGCAAAACCCCATATTGTTTGTCCATTGGAGATGTGACCTCTCCTCTAGGACTATAGAGTAGATAGGATGAATTGGGATTAAAGGACCATGAAGCTTAGATCTTTTAACCATGGTCCATATTGGATATGGAAATATATAGTGATTAATGTGGGTTGTGTTAAAAGGAAAGTAATCTAAATTAAGTACACCATTGAAAATTTGAAATTAATTTTCTATAGCAATTAAATTATATTTGTTTTAGCAAAATAGTGAAGTATTCAATGAAATGTGAAAGGTTTAATTGTTTTATATTTTTTAGCGAGGTGCTGAAGTGAAAGTAGTTCCATGGAATTATGATTTTACTCAGGAGAAATATGATGGTTTATTTTTATCTAATGGACCAGGAAACCCTGAATTAGCACCTGAAGCTATACAAAATATTAGACAGGTACAAGACAAATATTATTAATTGATATAATTTGTGTCTCCATTACTACTCATAGGTATTGTATGCCAGTGTTCTGGAAGTTACTTCTCTTCCTTACTTCTCTTCCTTTAAAATCGGGTGATCATTGTGTCTCCATTACTATAACTCCTGGGTATTGTATGCCAGTGTTCTGGAACTTACTTCTCTTCCTTTAAAGGGCATTTGGCTCTATTTTTAGAACCTTAAAATAGACAAAAATAGGTCCAAAAGCTGATATTAATGTAATATGAATATATGTAAATCTGATTGTTAAATTTTATTGTAAATTCTTATCAATATTGTTCGGTGAAATACAGGAATATTCCAAATTAAACAGCGGTTGTTTACGCTTGATAAGTCCGTTCTACGCATTTTTGTCTGCATTGTCTTGTAAGATATGCTTTTCTTTGTTTATTACAAATGGCACACAAAACCATATAGAATAAACGACTCGTGTACTTATTTTAACATTTTCATTATATCTTAAATATGGGATTTTAGGATACTTTATTTTCATGGCAAGATAACATCAATATTGATTTTATGGAAAATATTGAGTTAACAGGTTTAGCTCCTTTAAACTGTAAAATATTGAGTTAACAGGTTTAGCTCCTTTAAACTGTAAAAAGCTATAATAATGAGAACATTAAAGTAAAGTGTTTTTTTTAAATGAAATGAAATGAAATGAAAAGGGGTTTAACGTCCTACTGTTCTGCTCCTATACTGGGCTAATGAAGATGGGCTATGAGGGAAATTTTGCCCGGGCAGCGGCACTATCGCCTACTCTTATATCGAATTCCAACTGCCAAGGGATCTTTTACGTGCATTCCAATGTTTACACGGGACCTCAGTTTTTCGTTTCATCCGATGGACTAGACAGCTGTCCTTGTCAGGCCCTCCGTCCTGCATCACTGACAAGGGGAAACCATGTCGGAAAATCTGGATGAACTTTTTCGGCCAGTGCAGGGATTGAACACCCGACCTCCTGGCTAGCGAGCCAGCGCCTTACCCACCTAGCCACCGTGGCTCCCGTTTTTAAACATGATCTGAAGGGTTTTGTTGTATATTTCTGTACTTATATGACTTTGTTTATAGATAATGTCTATTATTGTATTTTATCTAGGTTATAAATAGTGATAGAAAAGAACCTGTATTTGGTATTTGTATGGGAAATCAGCTGACAGGTTTAGCTGCTGGTGCAGAATCGTACAAACTACCCTTAGGAAACAGGTAAATACATGAATTATATAATCTACCTGTCGATAATAGGTAAATACAAATATAAACTACCACGTTACATGAAAAATACCTGACAATATAAACATGCGGACAATCACCCACACAGATATTACAAGCAATAAACAACAGATATCAAATCAAGTGAATGGATCTGGGAGCCAGCCGTAAGCGTACAGTCCCAGGCCTATAGTGGTACATGTGAACAACAGATATCAAATCAAGTGAATGGATCTGGGAGCCAGCCGTAAGCGTACAGTCCCAGGCCTATAGTGGTACATGTGAACAACAGATATCAAATCAAGTGAATGGATCTGGGAGCCAGCCGTAAGCGTACAGTCCCAGGCCTATAGTGGTACTTTTGAACAACAGATATAAAATCAAGTGAATGGATCTGGTAACTAATCATACGCGTCCACTGTGCTGTAACAGTCTCAGGCCTGTAGTGATACATGTGAACAGGTAAAAACATGAATCATATGTCATATGAATGATCACTATTATAATTTTGTATTTCAGAGGTCTCAATCAACCAGTATTAATATTTTCTGTTATTATTTTGTATTTCAGAAGCCACAATCACCCAGTATTAATGTGTTATAATTTTGTATTTCAGAGGTCACAATCAACCAGTATTAAATGTTATAACAAATCAAGCTTTTATAACATCACAGAACCATGGATTTGCTATTAATACGAAAACCCTGTCCAATGATTGGGATGTGCTGTTTGTTAATGCTAATGATAAAAGTAACGAGGTAAGTTACAGCCAATTACATGTATATATAAAAGTAAAAAAGGGTTGGGGGTTTCGGAATAGTATAAATAAAAGTCAGCCACATGCGTCCAATCAGTCTGATATTGTAAAGCACTAGATTTTTTAAAAGAGACAAATTTTTATCGAAAATTTTAATTGTATATATCTGATTTTCTCTTAGATGTTTTAGATATATATACATAAAGTTTATATTTATTTTTATTTGATATTGACTGTGATATTTGTTTTTATTTATGTATATATATAGATAATATTGTGATTATTTGTTTCTAGTTTGTCTCAAGAAACCTCACCATAGGTGTGGCGCAATATAGCCCGGTTGGAGCTGACATGCCATTAAACAATATTTCATTCGTTCATTCCAATCAGTCTGAAGAGTTCAATATGAATGAAACTAGTCACTGACACCCGTAATAGCCATGTCTGCCTTCATTAGCCCAGTTCAGAGTAGAACAGTAGGACGTTAAACCCCATTTCTCTCTCTCTCTCTCTCTCTCTCTTTATAGCCTCTCTCACATACAAGTTATATTTATAGCACAGCTTTCATGAGTTAACAGTTTTAACCAGAGAGGCTGTAGGCAGAGATGTTAAACCTGTTAACAAATGAAGCGTGCCTTAAATGTCTTGTAACATTGACACCTGCTCAACATGCTTGTTATTGCACAGAAAACAAAGTGTGCAATAACATTGAACATGTCTAGTTCTTGCATGGTTAAACTTCAGCCAGTCTACTAGAGGAAAAACAATCTGCTTATTTAACGAAAAAGAACAAAGGAAAATTTCCCGTCCATGTTATATGTGTATTTACCTTTAGAACTTGGTGCAGGCTCCTTGAAAAAAATATAAAGCAGAATAATATTGACAAGAGTGTGCCTTGAAATTTTGAATGGCACACTAAGAAAATGTGAAAAACCACATGATCCAAATTGAGTATTCACTTATGTCTACTGATAAGCTCATAGCTGTGTTTTTCTTCCTTTATGTAGTTTGAGTCAGTCTATGTGTCTATGACTAGTCTCTGTCTACGGTTGTATGCTGTCTGACTTGTTTTTATTTTGCAAAATTCAGATATTTTTCAGATATATTTAGTCAGGTGTGGCGCATTTTCCAAAGTGTGCTGTTGGCAAAAAAAGGTTGAGAACCACTGAAATATATAAATGTTATAATTAATTATATGTTTTTTTATATTAGGGTATCATGCATAAGTCGAAACCAATATTTACAGCCCAGTTTCATCCTGAAGCATATGGAGGACCGACAGATACTGAGGTGAGTCAATTATAAATGATTAGACCTAAATGTTTCAAGTAAATTATGAAAGCCTCGATTTAATTAAAGAGGTATATAACTGTAGCTGATTTTGTGTTCAGCGGTCAACAAGTGAAGCGAAAAGCTAAGGCCACACGAAAAATATAGTCTGGTTCTCAGATACCGATGCATCATCAAAAATGGACCACATCACCCTTTATAATATTATTTTTAAAAAGAAATAAAAAGAAAGTTAATAATTTCTGCATTCAAGTGTAGTAACTCTGTTGAACGATTTTTGAAAAGTAAAACGGAACACTAGACAGATATAACTGTGAGAGATGACCAAAATTATATTCTGTGGGGAGATTGAGAGCCATGACTTTGAATTAAATTGCCAGCAAATGCGTTGATACCACGTAACTGTCAGATTTGAAAACATTTTCCCAGGAATTAATCAAGATGAAGTCACAGAATTATTTCACGTTATATTAAATTTGTTTTTCTTTTTTAGACTATTATTAAATTTATAAAAAATAAAAAATAATAACCAGATTTTGAATATTTAAAAACAAAAAATTGAGCCCAATTGAACACCGGTATAGAAAAAGTGGATTGGTTGGTCAAATTATGAAACACATGTGCAATTAGATCGGAAGGCCTAAATGAGTCAGGCCACTTTTTTTTTTTTAAGAACTGACACTTGACAAAGAGTAAGTTCGTCTGCTCAGCCTTGTTTTCTTTTTGCTAGTGCTTTGATTTCGTCCCACAGCTAAAGACCCCTATGCACACGTGAATCATTGAAATGAAATTGAACCATTTGTCAGTCCTGAAATCACCTAGTTTGTATCGATTGGGCAATATACACATTTCAATCGCTCGCTCTGTATAGAAGAATCAAAATTTTTCTTTTGAATTTTTGTTTTTTCAGTTTTTATTTGATTATTTTGTTGATTTGATAAAAACAAAGAAGAGTAATGTAACCCAGGTGATGAAGAAGGTCGTACCACCAACACAGAACATTAAACCGGTAAAACATATTTTATTTTCCTTGGAGATCAATATTATGACCATCTTGATGGCTCAGTGAATAAGACACTGGCATGCTAATCAGGAGGTCTTGGGTTCGCTCCGTAATGAAATGAAATGGGTTCTAACAGCCTACTGTTCTGCTCCTAACCTGGGCTAATGAAGACGGGCATACGCAATATAGTGTGCTATGAGGGAAATTTTGCCCGGGCAGCCGCACTACGGCCTACTCTTATATATCGAATTCCAACTGCCAAGGCATCTTTTACGTGCACGCCAATGTGTACACAGGACCTCGGTTTTTCCGTCCCATCCGAAAGACTAGACAGCTGTCCTTGTCAGGCCCTCCATCCTGCATCACTGACAAGGAGAGACCACGCCGGAAAATCTGAATGAACTTTCTTGGCCAATGCAGGGATCAACACCCGACCTCCAGACTAGCGAGCCAGTGTCCTGAGAATGACAGAGGGTAGGCCTAGCAACGACATTGTCTAGTCGCTTGGTGCAAAAAACATTTGCATTTTTGGGCCCTAGCCAGTTCAGCTATAACATTTGCACCATGATCTATTCTAACTAAATCTCTCACTGAAACAGAAACTGTGAGGGCCCTCGCCCCATGAGGGGGGTGGGTGGGGGGAGCTGCTGTGGCAAATGTTGAGAGAACCCTTATCGAAACGTCGCTTTAATTAAAAGAGTAATTGAGTTTCATGTTATGTTTTTGTGTTTATAACCCATGAAAGCCAGCAAAAGTTACACAAATTACATCCTCATCTCTTTTTATCTTTGGGGGGTTGGATGGACGATTTGTTAGCACGTGCGTACCCTATCATAAGGTCTGTCATTGAGTCAACTGGCGTGGTTTCGATTCTTTGGTTTTACGTGACAAGGAGTAGGATTGCCTGTCCAACCTCATGGGTTTTCTCAGGGTCCTCCAGTGTCCTATGTGCAAGTGAATTATTGAAATAAAATTGAACCAAATGTAGTCCCCAAATGACTAGTTTGTGTCAAGTTGATGTTATACCCCATTTCTCTCTTTCTCTTTTAGGTATCAAAAGTATTAGTATTGGGAAGTGGTGGTTTATCTATTGGTCAAGCTGGTGAATTTGATTACAGTGGATCTCAGGCTATTAAAGCTTTACGGGTAAATCTTAAAGATACATTATGGGAGATTTGATAATGAGTTGACAGTTCTCACTATAATAGTTAAAAACTAGATAATGTAAAGGCAATTTGCTGAAAATTTCATTCAAATTGATCCACTAAGAACCGAGAGCTAAGCGATTGAAATTTCCGCCTAACCTCAATCATCATTACTAAACTAGATTACTAGATTATCCATTTAATCGTTAAATCGTGAAGGAAAGTTATGCAGTAAATCGGCTCATAATCCACTAAAGATCGCAGGCTAGCGATGCCATCTAGAGTTGATTATGGTCTGGATAGGTTAATTAATGTCTAATTAATAATTTAGATAACATTTCAGACCTAAAGAAAGACCTGCAAAAGACAGATTTAGCTCTTGGATAATGTATGTTTAAACCAAGAAGATGTAATGTAAACTATTTTACACTTTCATATTCGATATTGACATGTATAATTGGACTGTTACTTTATGGATTATGTCCCCTAATTATACGAAAAGTTACATTTTTAGCTTGTTCCGACCATCTCTTGCAAAAAATGGGCGAATCTTGAATGGCAACAGCTTGTATTGTAAACATTGAGCTGCTAGCTCTCTTAAGAAAAATCTGCTAGCTATGTTATTATAAAATGTGGTCTAACATGTTAGCTTTGAATCACAAGGTCTGTTAGTGAATCATGTAGTGTGATTTGATCCTAAGCTTGTACGTGACAAGGAGTAGACTCGTCTGCCCAACATCATGGAATTTCTCCAGGGTTTCTGGTTTCCACCTTATTGATAAATTCCCCTAAGTGCAAGTGAATTATTGAAATAAAATTGTACAGGAAAAAAAAATGGCCCGAAAGGAATTTGTGTGTGTGTGTGGAGTTGATAGCTCTCTCTCTCCCCTCTCTCTTGTTTCTCCCTCTCCCTCCCTTCTTCTCTCTTCCTCTCCCCCCTCTCTCGGTCTCATATAGAGTGGTCATCAATGTTGGACGTAAAATATGGTAAAATGCTTTAGGTATATATTACATTATATTTGTGTTCTATTCAGGAAGAGAATATCCAGGCTGTTTTAATGAATCCTAACATCGCGTCCGTTCAGACAAATGCTGAAGGAGAGAAACAAGCTAATACAGTATATTTTCTACCGATAACACCAGAGTTTATTACAGAAGTTATAAAACGTGAAGAACCTGATGGTATTCTACTCTCTATGGGAGGACAAACAGCTCTAAATTGTGGTAAAGATTTATACCTGTTTTAAAGAAAGAATTATTATATATGTTATGGCACTTTATAATCTTAATTAATCGATAGAACAAGTACAAACCAGGAACCAACTAGGACGCCATTGCAGCCATCCTGGAATCATCTCCTCATATCAGTCTGTTATAAAGCGCTGGGGGGAGGAGAGTTGGATGGCCGAATGGTTAGCACGTGCGCTGTATCATAAGGTCTGTCATTGAGTCAACTGGCGTGGTTTCGATTCCCCGGTTGTAGGGTCGCCCGTCCAACCTTGTGAGTTTTTTTCTGGGTCCTCCAGTTTCCTTCCACTGCTAAAGACCCCTATGTGCAAGCGAATTAATGACATAAAATTAAACCATATGTAGGTCCCGAAATGACCTAGTTTGTTTTGAGTGAACATTAAACCCCATCTCTCTCTCTCTCTCTCTCTCTCTCTCTCTCTCTCTCGCTCGCTCTCTCTCTCTCACACTAGATATGGTTTTGTTTCAGGAGTTGAACTTCATCGACAGGGTATTTTACAAAAATACGGTGTACAGGTTCTGGGTACACAGGTCGACAGCATAATGGCCACAGAAGATAGACAGATATTTGCTGATAGATTAAAAGAAATTGACGAAAAGTTAGCACCCAGTCTGGCTGTAGAATGTCTAGAAGATGCATTGAAGGCAGCTGATCAGATATGTTATCCTGTTATGGTGCGAGCTGCTTATGCTCTTGGTGGTTTGGGATCAGGTGTTGCTAAAGACAGGGCAGAATTAACTAAGATAGCAAAAAAGGTGTGTATTATTTCAATTGTGTGAAAGATAAGTCTCTAAAAAGGAATATCTGTTCATAATGCTTTAATTTTTTTCAGTATTTACACATGTATGCTGAATTGAAATAGGGGCTTTAGGTCACATGATTTTAGCGTGAAATCTGACAGCCATCGGCTGAAATATAGCATGCTTCAATCTACGATTCTGAATTACTATTTTATTTAATTGTATTACTAACAATTGTATTGCAATAGTTTAATATCAATCTTGATATCTGCAAAGATTCAGGCCCAAAAATTATCGAATTTAAGCGAAATTACTGTTTATGTACAGGAGACGCTCGCAGGAAAATGCCGCTCTGACATCAGGCGGCCAGAGATTTTCCATTGCAACGGCTCACTTCATTGGTGAATCTGCATCTTAGTTTCCAGGGGATTTCCACATAGAACCAATTAAATGATAGATGACATTTTTGTGATTATTATGGTGCTTGATACCCCGAGCTACGACAATTACAATCGTACAAATCAGGATATTTCTATTTTTCTTTGGACCTAATTAGAATATTTTGATGAAATAAAAAATTTTGGGTAGTATTTTATGTATATTTTCACGAAATAGTTTTTTAAAAAAATTTTCTGACATTTAAAACTTTGACCTGAAACCCCCAATTGAAAAATCATCGATATCGCTAAATTATAAACATTAATTGTATTCGAAAGGACTTTGTCGAGTGTATTTCCATTTTAATTGTTAAATGTTATTGAAGTGTAAATTTATTACTGTAAAATCGTGTATTTCTTGATTATATACGTTGTATATTTTATGATCTTGGTGTCTATTTTTGTAGGCATTTGCTGTAACAAGTCAGATTTTAGTAGAGAAATCGTTATTAGGTTGGAAGGAAGTAGAATATGAAGTAGTGAGAGATGCATATGATAATTGTGTTACTGTTTGTAATATGGAGAATCTTGATCCACTGGGTATACATACAGGTAGGTGGGTAATCCAAGATGGAGGAGTGGGGTAGAAAGAATAGGAATAGGGGCAGATGGTGGGTGTTCAAAGATGGAGGAGTGGGGTGGAAAGAATAGGAATAGGGGCAGATGTGGGTGTTCCAAGATGGAGGAGTGGGATAGAAAGAATAGGAATAGTGACAGATAGGGGGTATACCAAGATTGAGGAGTGTGGTAGAAAGAATAGGAATAGTCTAGATGGTAGGTATTCCAGTGTTGAGGAGGAGGGTAGAAAGACTTAGCTCCTATTACTCTGTGACTCCCCCCACCATTCATGCAATATTGGTGGGTGATGGGGGAAGAATGGAAGTGGATTGAAGAGAACTTAAAATCTAACCCTGCACGAAAGATTAAATATTTAATAATAATAATAATATGATATTTCTGTTTTATAACTAGGTGATTCAATAGTAGTAGCACCGAGTCAAACATTATCAAACGAGGAATATCATAAACTCAGAGAAACTGCCATTAAGGTAATATATAATTAAAGTAACATGGTTTGAAATGTATTCTGCTACGACAGAAATGTTGCGTAGACAGCAACGTTTCCGCCTTATCCTCATTGCCTGTCTGTTTTTATACGCCCACATTTTTATGTGGACGTATTATGCCGTCGCCCCTGTCCGTCGGATAAAAATTGTGACCTATATAGGGTCCACAAGCTAAAAACGTGATTTTTCATACAAACAGGGGCGATAATCCATGAAGTTTCGATCCCTTATCCGATTTCGACGAAACTTGAAATAGCCACCGTTCGTTCTCAAATAGCGTAAAAATATGGTATATCAAGGTTGTGGACCCTATATATAGAGGTCACAATTTTTATCCGATTTTGTTGAAACTTGAAATGTAAGTTTATAACACAAAGATCTCAGTTCCTTTCGATATATGCACATATCGAATTGTAATTTCCTGAATTATGGCCCTTGATTGTAGGAAAAATCACTTTGTTAGCTTGTTCTCTATCCATATCTCGAAAATGTGGGCGTATCCTGCCTGGCAGCCGCTGGTTCTACGTGCATGTCAATGTGTACATGGGACCTTACTTTTTCGTCCCACCCCATTTACTGGTTACCATTTTTTGTTGGACCCTGTATCTGGGAAACCATGTTAAAAAATCTTATGTGCATGTCAATGTGTACATGGTTCATCGCTTTTCTTTCCGTCTGGATGATCATAGGCGTACGAGCAAGGGGGGCAGGGGGGGCAGCTGCCCCCCTAACTTTCGGGCAAGCTGACTTTTCGGGCAGAAGGGTAAAGTGAAAAAAAAATTTTTATTTCATCTACTTGGCAAAATAAAGTGCCCGAAATCTAATAAAACACTAATTTTACGGGCTGGAAACAAGTTTGCGGCCGTCAAATATTCCAAAATTTTCTTAGGGGGTCCATACAAGGTCAGTTCTGCTTCTTCACCTCTCGAAGAAAACCGGTGCCGCTGTCTGTAAACCTGAAATTTTTTCGGGCATTTCTAGTTTTTCTTCCCTAACTGTCACTAATTTTACTTTTCTTTTAATTGAATACCACAAATTTGTACTGAGTTGACTATGGATTAAAACATTTTGTCTGGAGCCACTCTACTTTGTGCGACATTTTTCGAGCATCGATTATTATTTGTGAATGCAGCTGCAACGATCTGATTGGATGGTTGGAATTCAGAATGGGATTTCGTTTACAAAACCATTGGGATACTTTTGGAGTTGCTTACACGGGCTAGAATAGCAGAAAACGCATTTGCGGTGGTTAGATTTTCAAAATTTTCTCCGGGAGGGTGAGGCCCCGAGGGTGAGGCCCCCCATACCCCGCGACGATTGATTGGTTGTTTGGAATTCGGGTCAGCCAGGAAGGCTATATTGGACCAAATTGAAGTTGCTGTATTCACAGACTGGAATAGCAGGAAAACGCGTATGCGGCTGTTAAATTTTCAAAATTTTCTCCAAACGGTCCTGTCTCCGTGGACTGTAAACGATTGATCTTTTGATTGGAATTCGAGTCTA